TGCGACTCTTCTGCAAATTGAAACTTGAATGGATTGCATTACTTCAACCAAAAGACAGAACAAAGACAAAGACAAATACTAACTTGAAAATCGCAACGAGAGAATAGCAACACGAAATGAAAATCGCAACGACAGAATCGTAACGCGAAATGAAATCTAAGTGAAATGGTTAATCTATTATTGAAATGACCAGTAAACTTATCATCAGTTTCAATATGAAAAACCTACAATAATGCAAACATTTCAAAATAAAAATAATTAAAAAACTAACCCTCGGAGGTTGATTTTCCATTTCTGAATATTGTGAGGGATTTCTGACCGTGAATGGTTGTGAGGGATTTCGCCGGAGATGGGGACGGAAATCTTCGGAGATGGGGACGGATTTCTTCGCCGTAGAGAGTGAGAGATGGAGATGGGACTGAGTTGTGATTTTAGGTTTTAGGTTATGAGTTGCGATTACGGGATTTTGTCTTAATATTCTTTTTGTAATTTGAAAATAAAATACGCGTAGCGATTATAATGGCGCTTTAAATATCGCGTTGCGATTTACGGATACGCGTTGCGATTTTATGTATTATCGTTGCGATTTACGGATACGCGTTGCGATATACGGATACGCATTGCGATTTACCCATACGCGTTGCGATTTACGGATACACGTTGCGATTTACGGATACGCGTTGCGATTTATGTGTTCGCGTTGCGATTTTCATATTCGCGTTGCGATTATGGAAAATCGCAATGCGAATTTGTACTATCGCATCGCGATTTTCAAGAATCGCGTTGCGATTTTGGAAACTGATTTGCGATTCTGGAAACTGATTTGCGATTCTGGGGATCGCGTTGCGATTTTTATTTCGCGTTGCGATTTTGTTGGTCATTTTGGCAAATCCAAAAAAAGTTGGTTAAAATCGTATATTATAACTTTTTTTTGGTCACTGAGGCGATTTTCTCTATTTTTATTTTAATTATTTTTAATATTTTAAGTAATAATTTAAATTTTTTAAAATCAGAATTTTTGTATAAATTTATTTTTTTGAATAGAAGCCGTTAGTTTTATTAAAAATAGAAAAAAAATCTAAATTACAATGAAGATTTACAACTATAACCGTAAACTAAACACATAATAAGCGCAAATTACAATGAATGTTTACCACTGACAAATCACAAATCAAAGTCGAGTGGCGTGAAAAGACTATCCACGAATGTAAATCAAATATCCAATCCAATCTATATGTCCAAAGCATTGGAACTCAATGTGATAACAAATGAGTGCGATCTTGATCAATCGTGACGATGTCAAACCCAACCTTGAGAAAACATGTAAACAAAAACAACGTCCAAACGAGAGAAAAAGAAAAGGTGTCATAAAGGTATAGAAAAACATGTCATAAAAGTAGAGAAAAACATGTCATAAAAGCATAGTCATTAAAAGTAAAAAAAAACATTATAATAAAATACTAATGTCCATACTAAATTTATATAATTTATAAATACTTCTCAATTTTAAAATTAGATATTTTGATCCTAATGTCCATACTAATTCAATCCCTATATGAAGGTAAGTATATATATTTTGAATATATAGGGTAATAACAAGATAATACATGTTTATAATTTTTCTTAGTCAGTGACAACACACACATATCCTATAGACGTAACCTCTCGAACTCGATACATAAAAAAAAAAAACATTTTCATCAACCACTAAGGTCACTTAATGGGTTCAATATGTATATTTTAGGTTGAGTCGAGGTGGCGAGTGTTTTTTGTCCAACTAAATAAAATTACTAAAATTAAATAAAAATATTATATAATTTTATTGTCGAAATCAAGAAATTTATCATCAGTAATAATGATTAATCACTTTTTTGACTACAATTATTAATCAATTTTAATATAAAAATATTTTATTTTTAAAACATAATATATGATAGCATAAATTAATTCTAATAAAATTTAAAGTTTATATTTGAACTCCAACCCCAACTAGACGAGACTAAAATCCAGATAATGAATACTTTTAGGCGGACGGAGTCCACAAAGTGATTTCTTTTTAGCATTTTATAATCATATGATAATATATATTTTATTTTTTAATTTATATAAAAATTTATATATATCTTACCGATATTTAAATTAATTTTTTTTAAAAATATCCCTACTTTTATTACTAGAAAACTCTTAAATTCAACCACAGTGAATTTCTGGGATGGATTAATATTTTATCCTTTGTTATCAACTGACATGGTTGGTATAAATTAAACCTGCACTTGGTTGGTATTATACCAGATCCGAATTGTAATATAAATACATTTGTTTAATAAATATTTTGGCCTTTTAAATTTAAAAACATTATTTAACAATCAAGTTTAAGGGTTCATTTCCGAAGAAAAATGATATTTATTGATCAATTAGAGTTGATATACATTAATTAAATTTTGTTATTAATATATGTGACAGTTTTTAAATTTAGATATCCATCATGTATCTAAGGTCAAGTTTAAAAATCAAATAAACCCATAAAAATTCGTAGACCAACTAGATACTTAAATCCAACTTAAGAAGATGAAATATACTTCAGTTCTTTTTTTAATTTGAAAAAAAATATTTTAGGTTTATTTCAATTTTAAAATTTAAAAACTTGATCCTCTAAAAAAGGCTATTTAAACCTTGATAAATTTAAAAATAAATAATTAAGATTGATTAGTTTTGGTTTTAACATTTTTCGTTAATTTTATATAATTTTAATTGATATACTATCAAATATATCTGTAAATGTTACACATTATATAAATTTGACCAGATTCTAAAATAATAATACAAAATTTATATATTTTACAGATATTGAGGACTTAATTTGTTAAAATTTTAATGCCATGATTAAAATGATAAATATTAAAAATTAAATTTATTATTATATTAATTAAAAGTACATAAATTGTTTTTGGAAAATATTATTAATTGTCTTTAATTAATTATTTTGAATTCGACTACGACTAAATTGCTGGAGGGTCAATTTATCAAAATCTAAAACTGAGAGGGATTAAAGAGGCAATTCTACCCTTTTAATTTTGTAAAGTATAGTAATGGTCACTGAACTTTTTTAAAGCTTTCATTTAGGTCCCTCAACTTTTAAAACTTGCAATACAGTCCTCCAATATTTATTCCTTTTGCAATATGGTCCCCCGACGTTACATTGCCATTAGTATGTTTGCAATATGATCACTGAACTTTTTAGGTGCTTGCATTTAGGTCTCCCAACTTTTAAAACTTGCATCACAATCCTCAATTTCATTATAGACCCCAAATTCCTTTTCGATATCAAATTTTCTTTAGAAAATAAATATGAAAATTTTATCTTAAATATTGCTATATCAGTCTTATAAAATCAAAGCTTATAGATATAACCTACAAAACTTTTTATAAGAGAAATAAAACAGAGAATAAACTTTATAAATTCATATACTAAATAAGTAAATTCCTTCCAAATAAAGTCAATAAGTCAATCAATAAAATAACAATTTCATTATGATAATCCCTAATAATTAATTAAGTATTATAGATCTTTATACTTAATGCGTACGTGTTCATTATTAATTAAGGATTATAAAACTTTAGTATGTACCTATTTGATTTGAAATATGTTACTCTGTGTACTTGTGTAAGTATGATAATCCCTAATAATTAATTAAGGATTATAGATCTTTATACTTAATGAGTACATGTTCATATTTAACTTACACGTTCATGTTTGTGAACCACATAAAATAGTATAGAATAAATGTATACTATTGAATTTTATAAGCTAAACGTCTCTATTGCTTTTGTGTGCATGTTACAAGTTACTTTATTCGCGATAGGATATCAACATTAATGGAAGAGTCTCGATGAATCATTCGAGTACGATAAATGATTACTTAAATGGGCATATAAATATTGAAATATTTTAGTTAAGTTTGTAAATTAATTTGTATATTTGTTTTCTTTCAAAAAAAAAAGGAGCTTCGTTTTTTGTATAAACAATTTTTTAACTTGAACATTTTACGGATGTTTAACATATTTCATCGTATTTCATTCAACGGGTTAGTGTCTGGTTCAAACGACCATTACTTTTTTTTAATATAAAGAGACAAGTTTGAACATACGAATAATAATGTGATCATTATGTAACTTTTAATAGTCGGAGACTTGATAAAACAAAACTCTTAAGATATCATTTTATAACTTTTAATAGTTGGTGAGACTTTATAAAATAATATCATGTAATTAAAAGTCATTTATATATTTGAAGCATTTTTAATTGACTTGTAAACTAGAAGTATTTTATATAAACAAACACGATAAAATAAGTAAATGCACCTTGAATAGATATATCTCCTTTGATTAAATAACTTTTATATAGGAAATTCGAGGTCGAAATGAAATTTGGGTTTAGAATGAAATTGAAGACTGTGTTGCAAGTTTTAAAAGTTGGGGGACCTGAATGCAAGTGCCTGAAAAGTTCAGTGACCATATTGCAAACGTACTAACGACAGTGTAATGTCGGGGACCATATTGCAAACAGAATAAATGTTAGAGGACTGTATTGCAAGTTTTAAAAGTTAGAGGACCTAAATAAAAGCTTTAGAAATGTTCAGTGACCATTACTATACTTTACCCTTTAGTTTATTATGTAATTCACTGTTGCGGGGCTTCATTACCGCGTCGAAAATGATGGTGAGCTTCCACCAAGCTTCCCAACACATTATTCCACAACCAGAAGTTGAACGACTTTTCCCCGTCTTCACCAACAACATTGCCGATTCAAATTACTTTATAAACAAAAAACAAACACTAGAAAACATTATAATTTAGAACATTCCCAGAAGCAAAGCCCAATAGTCCCCTTTCAAACCCATTACAATATTCATCGTCTTCAAATAAAAATATCCAAGTGACCGGCTTTCAACTTCTAAAGAGAATAAGAAAGATTTTTAAGACTGGGTTTTGTTTGTTTATCTACTATATCTCTCTCCCATTTCAGCTTTCTTTTTCAAAGGAGGATTAGAGAAGATGAAGTTTCAAGTTTTTGTGATTGCGATTTGGGTTTTTTCGCTCTCTTTTGCTTCAGTTTCAGCCAGATTCTTTCCGATCAATATAACAGGTATTCCGCCGTGGATTCTCCACAACACCACTAAAACCGCCGCATGGGATGCATTCGCCAGATTCGCCGGTTGCCGGCCAGGCGAAACACGGGATGGTTTGTCTATGCTCAAAAAGTACTTTAACTACTTTGGTTACTTGCCCAACTCACCGTCTAATTTCACCGAGGATTTCGACGACGAGCTAGAGAAGGCGTTGAGAACGTATCAGCAGAATTTCAACCTTAATGTCACCGGTGAACTCGACGATCAGACTCTTCAACAGATCGTACGGCCGAGATGCGGTAACGCCGATATTATCAACGGGACGACTTCCATGAACTCTGGTAGATCGTCGTCGTTCCACACTACCGAACGCTTCCACACGACGGCGCATTACTCATTCTTTCCTGGAACGCCGCGTTGGCCTTCGAACCGGCGGGACTTAACGTACGGCTTCTTTCCGGCGAACGAGTTAACCAACGAAATAAAAGCCATCTTCACAAGCGCCTTTCAGAAATGGTCGGCCGTTATTCCGCTGACCTTCACACAAACGGATTCTTACTTCCTCGCGGACATCAAAATCGGGTTTTACAGCGGAGACCACGGAGACGGCGAGCCATTCGACGGGATTTTAGGGACGTTGGCCCACGCTTTTTCTCCAACAAACGGGAGGCTCCATTTTGACGGGGAAGAGAACTGGGTTGTTTCTGACGACGTCACGAGGGCGTCTCTGCCGACGGCGGTGGACTTGGAGTCGGTGGCGGTTCATGAGATCGGACATTTGTTGGGATTGGGGCATTCGTCGGTAGAAGATGCGATTATGTACCCGTCGATCTCTTCGGGAACGAGGAAAGTGGAACTGGCGAACGATGATATCGAAGGGATTCAATTGTTGTACGGCAATAACCCCGAGTTCAACGGTACTACGAATTCGAATAGTCGGGAGAGAGACACTAGCGGTGGCGTTCCTCATCATTTGGGTTCACGGTGGGGCCTTGGTTTAGTGTTGGCCGTTGGATTTGGGTCTTTATTTTTGTAGAGTAATTATTTTTGAATAATTTATGCAGTATACTTGTTTTTTTCCTCCTAATTTTTAATATAAAATTCACATTATTCTTCCCATAATGTGCTCGTATTTCGTTAAAATTAATTATTTAGCTTTAAGTCCATTTAATTCTTAAATTTTATGATTTTATTTCACCCTTTACATTTAAGGGTGTTCAAATGGTTCAATCGAATTAATAAAAATCTAATTAATTGAATCAAATAAAATTTGGTTAATTTGGCCAGCTTTTGAATTAATCAAAATTCATTGTAATTTTTTAGTTAAATTAATTTGGGTTTAATATATATATTTTATTTGAGTTAGTATTTGATATTATAAAAAAATGAGTCTAAATTCCTAATAGATTTGAAATTAATATATATATATATATAATATTTTTATTAATTTAATTAGTTTTTCAGATCAAATTAATATCTAATTATCTAATCAATTAGTACTAAATTTCAATTCGACTGATTATTCATTAAAACAAAACAATGAGCATCCCTACTTACATTAAGTTCATGATTTGGTCTCTTATGCACCCTTATAGTCAAACGATATGACATTTGCCTAGTGTCTAATCGAAAAACTGGGATTATAGTAACAATTGAATGAATGCACATCCTATGTCAAGCTCCAAATGTACACAACTAATTTTATGTAAAGACATAAAACATCAAATTATTATAGAAAGCTCAAGAAGGATGACAAACACCAACTAGCTCTATGTATGAGTATATATTATTTTTTCAATATAACACATCATATTTATATTATGTATCTATATAACTCCAATGACTATGATTATATAACTAAAACTAAAACATACAGTGAAAGACATCGATATGATTATATGATCATCAACTTGATAGAGGATATTAATTTATCATTAAACGAGATACATTATTTGTTCATAATTGATGCCATGAAAGCAACATATTATCGTTTGGGTAAACTATTTGTGCACCTAAAAAAATAAATCTTTGTTCAGATGAAGAATAAGCATATTAATTAGCTGATCATATTCCCATGTGTAATGAGATAAGGGAGAGGTAGGATAGTAGGTTGCCCCAACTCCAAGTTGAGAACAACTTCCGTGGGAGACCTCCGGCAGTCAGAATTATGAATTGTCCACCGTGAGACTTGATCCCACAACCACGAGGTTAAGATAAGAGCCTTGCACTCTACCAACTAAGCTGGACGAGCAATTGAAGAATAAGCATATTATTAGCCTTAAATTTATAATTGACCTAGATAAACTAATATCCTCCTTAAACACGGTGTTAGTTTCCTGATTTTCATATTCTAATTAAAATTTTTGTGATACACAGATGGTGTAACCTGTGGAATATATTTTATGAAACTTAATATGGGTAAATCTGAAACACATGCATTGTGATTGTTACTTCTTTCAAATATTCAAATATCCATACCTCACATTATAGCTATATGTTCATACATCATGATCGATTAAATGACATATATGGGTAAGAGTTCACTCTTTTTTCTTTCTGAAAATTACATAAGAGTTCAAAGAGAAGATTAAACAACATAAACAACATGAATATATTGTAGAAACTCATCCTACAAAAGAAAAATGTGTTATTATCTTTTTATCATATGGTAATCTCGAGCTATAATGATCGATTTTTTATCATTTATAATTTTTTTCTTCTCTGATAATAACTTTTATCTATTTCAATATTTTTCTGCATTTATTATCTTCACATAAAAGAATTTTATTATATTTAAACAATATAAATTCATATTTAAAATTAAACCTCAAATCTTAAATCATTATTCTATGATACAATATAACACTTCAAAATCCTTGACAACCAATCAAAATCCTCAGATAAAAATTTCTAACAATCATTCAAAACCCTTACCCTAAAACACGACACGTGAATGAAACATGACACACCTTATGATGCATTTTTATTAGGACATAACTTTGGAGATGGACTGGTTTTTCTTGCTAAGAACTTAGATTACAATCAGGCTATGCTTCCCCAGCTGTTATTTGACTGTGTTGTTTTATGATTTTCATGTTGCCTATTATTGTGATCGAGGTTTGTACCTTATTTTCTGTAAGATCTTCATTTTCACTGTATTGTCCTACAAACTATTCTATATCATTATTGAAACTTTGAAGCATCGATGCTCCTGGTATGCGCTCTCTGAATGAACATTTCTCCTTTTCAGATTGTTGAGGAAGTAAGTTTTGCTGCTAATAGCATAACAGCCACAGGAATAAAAGCCTTTGACAGAGTTCTTCAAGCTAATATGGTATTGAAAACCCTTAATCTTTCAGGAAATCCCATTGGAGATGAAGGAGTGAAGGTCAGCCTAAATTTTCCTTTATGTAACTGGCAACTTATGAATGGTTAAATGACCCTGTCCTGCACCTTGTCTTTATTTAGATACCTAATATTTACAGGGATACATTGTCTTTATCTGGAGATTCCTTTTTATTTCATATTTCTCAACAGTATTTTGTGGTTACTGCATTTTCATTCTCATAAGGTGCTTTCTCAGTCACATTCCTATAACACTATATTAGTAAATTTGTTTATGCAGCTTGTATTTGTTTTTAATTTGATAACATCATAATGAACTACAATGGGATGGACTCACATACTGAGGTAGAAACTACTGCATAATTTGCACATATGTTTGAATCCCATTGGATATTATGTAGTTGGGAGAATGGTTAAACATAGATTGAAGCAAATGTACTCTACTTTCTACCATATGCTTTCCCAAACAAAAGGCTCCTGGTATTTCAAATGTGATTACTACATTGAAATATGTATTAAATATTGTTTGTCCCCATTTTTCTGCGGATTTACATTTTTGCTGAGAATTTGTTAATGCTCAGGTGTATATTTCATGTAATCTATTTTTGTCGGCAGTGCCTATGTGATATTTTGGTAAACAATGGTAGCATTCAAAAGCTCCAGCTAAACATTGTTGACTTAGGGGATGAGGTTAGCTTTCTGTTAATATCCACTTTGGTTTCCCTGGAGTTGCTTTGTGAACAACTGAAGGTCTTTGCAGTGGAGATTTACTTTAATGCTGAATCACTATTATATGCAGGGTGCAAAGGCAATTGCAGAATTTTTTAAGAAAAAATCAAACTTATGTGTTCTTGAACCTAATAACAACATGATTGACTATTCTGTAAGAAATGACCTTACCGTTTTCCTTAGAACATTGCTTCAAATTTAGTTAAGCAAAGTTGTAGTTTATTTATTTATTCTATTTTCTTATATGAATGGAGATAGGGATTTACAAGTTTAGCAGGAGCACTTCTTGAGAATAACACTATTCGGAATTTTCACCTAAAGTAAGTTAAAGTCTAACGGATTCTGTACTCTAAAAATATATTGACTTTCTCATGTAATAGGTTATGTATTGGTAGGCTGGATGGTAAATGTGCTTTCCATTCTTGAACTGTTTTTGATAAAGCAAGAGTCTGCTTAAGTTTCCTTCCGGTACAACTGTTTTTTTTTTCAATTTTAACTGGCATTTTTTTCTGGCACGATGTTACTGTTGAAGTGGAAATTATAGAGGTGCTCTGGGGGCTAACGCATTGGCCAAAGGGCTCGAGGGGAACAAGTCCTTGCGGGTAAATTTCTTATTTACTTCTGCTTTTGTTTGTTCTGACCTACATGATGAAAGTCCAGTGGTTTTGACACCCTTAGTGTTACATCTGGTGCTTAAGTAATGGTTTGTAGCTTTATAGTCCTTTGAATGTATTGGATGAAATGCTGTTGTGATAGAGCAGTGATGCTTGTATGCTTAGGCGAATGTGGAAGGATGTATGAGGAGAGTGGAAAACTGGAAAGAAAATAAATTTCGAGTTTGTTCGGTGAGAAAAAAAAAGTGGTTGGAAAGAAAATAGGAAAGATGATAATTTTCTGTTCAAATGCATAAAAGAAACACATTCTAAATTGTAATGTTAAGAGGAAAGAAATTGAGAGGGAGATACAGTTTAAGTATGCATATTTACAAGATTATGCTTTTTTTAAATAAAAAAAAAATCATTTTTCCTCATTTTTTTAAATAAAAAAAAATCATTTTTCCTCATTTTTTTTATCCCTACAAAGCAATTCATGGAAAGACTTACTTTTCTTTCCATTTTTCCATTTGTCCTACCTAATACAGCATGGAAAGGGAAAAAAATATTTTATTTGTTCATGGATCTAAATGTCTGCTATCTTTCTATTTTTCTCTTTCCATTTTTATTTCCACTCTACAAGCAAAGCTTAGTGTTCAAGAAAAGAAAAATGGTCATAATTTTGAGACATCCAAAGAAGGAAAGAGGACAAAAAATGAGTGAAACGGGTAAATTTTATTTATTTTCATGGATCTATTATAAAATGATTGTATTTCCTTGTTTTTTTTTTCAGGAATTCAGTTAGTGATGAGGGAGTTCGCGCTTTGATGCTGGGTTTATCTTCACATAGAGGTTTACATTTTGTTATATTGAATTGCCCCTTGTGTGTGTAGTCGTTGGCTTTTATCCTTCCCCGCCTACTGCAGCAGTTTGTTTAACAAACATATTCTTTCTAGGAAAAAATACCCTCCTGGACTTTGGGAACAACTCAATAACTGCAAAAGGTGCTTTTCATGTTGCGGAATATATAAAAAGGAGCAAGAACTTGCTGTGGGTGAACCTTTACATGAATGACATTGGTGATGAGGTATTCAATAAATTAACAGTCAATATGTGAACTTTTTATCTTGTAGGTTTTTCATTTATAAGAGTTATAATTGTTGAAATAGAGAGAAGAGTAATGAGAAACAATGGCTTGAGTTTTCCATTGATTAAGAGTGAATATATATACACAAAATTGGACACATAGAAATAGGAAACTAGCCTAGAGTTAGGGGATTACAACTAATTACAAGGCATAGAAATAGGAGATTAGCCTAGAGTTAGGGGATTACAACTAATTACAAGAATATTATAATTGATTACAATAATTTAAAATATAGATAAAATCTATTATAATTAATTCTCTAATATGCCCCCTCAAGATGGAGCTCCGGAGGAGACACCAATCTTGACCCTTAAATCTTGGAATCGGCTTCGTGGAAGCGGTTTGGTAAGAGCGTCGGCAAGTTGATCTGCTGAGGAAACATGAGTAACACGAAGAGCACCTGATTGAACTTGACCCCGAATAAAGTGATAGTCAAGTGCCACATGTTTCATGCGCGAATGAAAGACTGGATTAGAGCAGAGATAGGTGGCACCAACATTGTCGCAGTAGATAACAGGCGGTGTAGAAAGAGTGATGCCAAGTTCTGTGAGAAGGGAACAAATCCAATTGAGTTCAGAAGTAGTAGCGGCAACTGATCGATACTCAGCCTCCGTGGAGGATCGAGCAACTGTACGTTGTTTCTTGGATGACCAAGAAATAGGATGACGACCAAGATAGACAATATAGGCACTCGTTGAGGTATAATCATCTTTGTTTCCAGCCCAATCAGCATCTGAGAATGCATGAAGGGAAAGTGGATTTGCCTTGTGAAGGAATAATCCATGAGTTAATGTGCCACATAGATATCGAAGCAGTCGTTTTGCAGCATTCCAATGTTCAGACGTCGGGCGATGCATGAATTGAGAAAGCTTGTTGACAGCATATGCTATGTCTGGGCGAGTGAGGCAAAGATACTGTAGACTGCCAACAATTGTTCTATATTCTGTGCAGTCAGTTAGAGCTGTACCTGAATGAAGTGTAATATTTCCATCTGTAACAAGTGGTGTAGCAACAGGTTTTGCACCAATCATTTTTGTCCGGGCAAGAAGATCAGTGATGTAGCGCCTTTGAGTAAGCAGCAGACCGGATGGAGTAGTTAGAACCTCAATGCCGAGAAAATAAGACAATGTGCCAAGATCCTTGATTAAAAATCTTTGTGCCATGAGGTCAATGTAGCGCTGAATAATATTGGTGTTGGTGCCTGTGATAATAATGTCATCCACATAAACAAGTAGATATATAGTAGTGTCACCTGAGTGAAGAATGAATAGGGAAGTGTCTGCTTGAGAGTTTGTGAACCCAGACTCAATGAGGAATTGGTGAAGTTCAAGGTACCAAGCCCGTGGGGCCTGCTTGAGTCCATATATTGCCTTCTTTAGTTTGCATACATGTGTTGGATTGTCTTTATCAACAAATCCTGGAGGCTGGGCCATGTAGACATCTTCGGAAAGATGGCCCTGAAGAAAGGCATTATTAACATCCAATTGTCGCAATTGCCAACCTCTACTAACTGCCAGGCTTAGAACAAGTCGTATTGTTGTCGGCTTGACAACCGGACTAAAAGTTTCATGATAATCCACTCCAGGTATTTGATGAAAGCCTTTGGCAACTAATCTAGCTTTGTACCTGTCAATAGAACCATTAGGAAGCCGTTTAATACGAAAGACCCACTTACATCCAACAAGATTCTGCAAAGAAGTAGATGGAACAAGCTCCCAAGTTCCATTCCGAACAAGAGCATCAAACTCATCATTCATAGCTTGTCTCCATTTGGGATCTTTTAGGGCTTGAGAAACAGTATGAGGCTCAATGTCTGATGGTTGAGAAATGATAGCAGTGAGGTCTATTTTGGTTAGGGGTTTATGGATGTTGTTTTTCGATCTAGTGGTCATGGGATGGGTATTTTGATGGGTGGGTTGCGCTATGATTGAAGCAGAAGAGGTCTCAGAATTGTGTGGTTCTAGTGGTAAATGGTCGACGATGGTTTCTTGGCGATTAACCGAGCTGTGTTCGGGTAAAGGGAGGTCTATGGATAGGGATCGACGGTCGACTGATGAGGAAGGGCAGTGGTCTGTTGGGTATTTTGTGACGGATGTTGACATGAGGAATCCCTTTGTGGAGGCGTATTGAGTGAGCCACTTGAAATTGGTAAAATTTGGACCGGGGGAAGCCATTTGGAAATGATCTCTGGGGTGGGACGCGCTAGATGGATTTGGTGAGTGCTAAAGGGAAATGAGTTTTCAAGAAATTTGACATGACGAGAAATGTATATTTAGAAGTGGATAGAGCGAGACAGATATATGCACTTTGTGTTAAAGAGTAGCCAAGAAAACACAAGGAGTGGAACGAGAGTCAAGTTTGTGCTGAGAATAAGGACGAAGCCACGGATAACATAAGCAACCAAACACCCGAAGTTTAGTGTAGTTGGGTTGAGACTCAAAGAGTTTCTCAAAAGGAGATGAAAAATGTAGTGTGGGTGTGGGCATACGGTTGATGAGATACAGCAGTGGCAAAGGCGTAAGTCCAATAAGTTAAAGGCATTGATGCATGAGTAAGGAGAGATAGACCAGTTTCAACAATATGTCAATGACGTCGTTCAGAAAAACCATTATGTTCTGGTGTATGGGGTGGTGTAGTAAGATGTGATATACCATTGGTGGAGAGAAACGATCAAGGGCTTGATATTCACCACCATTATCTGAATAGAGGGTAATAATTCGGTGTTTAAATTGGTTTTCGACTAATGCCTTGAAACGTACAAAGATGTCATGCACATGAGATTTTCGTTTAAGGGGATAATACCAAATATATCGTGTATAATGATCAACAAAAATAACATAGTATTGAAAACCATCAACAGAATAACAGGAGAGGTCCAGACATCAGAAAAGATAAGTTCAAGCGGGTGAGATGAAGTTAAGGTAGAAGAAGAAAATGGAATTTTATGACTTTTATTGCATGAACATGCATTGCAATGTGTGAAGGAGGATAACGGACTAGACAATGGTAAAGGAAATTTGGAAACAATATTTTTCATAATAGTAAATGACGGATGACCTAGTCTAGAGTGCCACTCGGACGAAGTGGTCTTGACACTGGAAAATGCAAGCAATGGTGAAGAGGAAAGTGAAGGGGATGTAGTCGGCCACTCATATACGCCATCCTTAGGTTCACCCATCAAAAGGATTGTCCCCGTGTTTAGATCCTTCACCTGAAAAGCAGAGGGTGAGAATTCAACAGAAACATGGTTATGAGTGCAAAATTGATAAATCGAAATTAAGTTCTTTTTCATGGAAGGACACAAAGGACATTTTGTAAAGTAAAGGTGCGAGAGGAAGTTGGTATGGTGGTAGAACCAGTATGGGTTATGTGAAGGGCCGATCCATCGCCAATCATGACATCATCAGATCCTTGGTACGAGCTATGAAGAGAGAGATTGCTCAAGTCAGACGTAACGTGGTGAGATGCTCCACTATCCAGCAGCCAAGTAGGTGTAGTGTTGTTGCCCAGAATATGATTGGCTCGTGGTTGCCAGGGTGTGGAAGGGCGATATCCCTGAGAGCCTTGAGGACGAGATGCTGGTGATTGTTGATTATTGACAAGCCGAAACATCGGGCATCGTTGGCAGTGTGTCCTTGAGTGCCGCATGCTTGACAACGACCCAAATAAGGTTTGGGTTGGCGTTGATCATGAGGAAAGTATAGTGGTAGGGCCTGATTGTTGTGAATTGGTGGCTGGTGGACGCCAATTTGGACGATTCCGAAAAGCCGTGGGATTTGCCGTGGCTGGTAGTGATAGGGAAGGTGGTTGAGCGGTCTGAAGAGATGTTTCTTTGTTGAGAAGTTTCTCATGAAGTTCAGCAAAAGAAATTGACGTGTCACGGGCATTAATGGCATCAATGACAGATTTATACTCATCTTAGTCCTTCTAGAACCCGATCAATAAGATCCTCATCATCAATTGGCTTCCCTAGAAGAGCAAGTTCATCGGCACGAGTCTTTATCGCTTGCATGTATTCACTAATTGATTTTGAGCCCTTGTTACACCGCTTTAATTGTTCCTTCAATTGTTTAATATGACCACGAGATGGTTTGGCGTAGGTATTAGCTAAGGTTTGCCATGCATCAAGGGAAGTGGTGGTGCGGGCAATAAGCGGTTGCAATGAAACGGAGATGGCACCAAGGAGAGCGCTAAAAGGAGACGATCTGACGCTTCCAGGTTGTGTACGCCAGATTTGGAGATGTAACACCATTGACGGTGATGGTGGGTTGTGGTGGAGTTTGAGTGCCATCAATAAAGTGATGAAGATCATAACCTTCAAGAAGAGATTGGATTTGAAGGCTCCATGTGAGATAATTGGTGGATGACAATTTGGTGATATTGGAGAGATTTATTGTAAGGAGAGGATGTTGAGGATCTTGAGAATTTTGGATAGTAATAGGATCGTTGGTGGAAGAGGAAGTCGTATGGGAAGCCATTGAAGGGACTAGTGCGTAGTTTTAGATATATGTATATGAAGGATCGTGGTGTTTTTGAACCAAAAAAAAAAGGAGAAGAAAATATGCTCAGGAAGATTAGGCTCGTGATACCATGTTGAAATAGAGAGAAGAGTAATGAGAAACAATGGCTTGAGTTTTCCATTGATTAAGAGTGAATATATATACACAAAATTGGACACATAGAAATAGGAAACTAGCCTAGAGTTAGGGGATTACAACTAATTACAAGGCATAGAAATAGGAGATTAGCCTAGAGTTAGGGGATTACAACTAATTACAAGAATATTATAATTGATTACAATAATTTAAAATATAGATAAAATCTATTATAATTAATTCTCTAATAATAATTATAGGAGTTGAACTTTCATTGATGCAAAGTTTTGAAAATTTATCAGGGTGCAGAAAAAATTGCTGAAGCTTTGAAAGAAAACCAGACGGTAACAACCATAGACTTGGTGAGAAGAGAATTCTTCTTAAATTCTTTGTAATATATTTTAGATATTTAATTAATTTTGGAATGTCCTATACGACTATATGAAGACAACAATTGGTTCCTAATGTGCTAGGGTGGAAATAATATTCGAGCCAAGGGAGTTGGTGTGATAGCTGAAGCCTTAAAAGATAATGCTGTCATTACAAATGTGAGATAATCATCTTCAGCTGCCCCTATGCCTCCCTTTCTATACCCGATTTGGGATGATGACATGATTGACTCTCCTCTCTTTTCTCTTTCCCCCTCTTCAGTTGGAACTTGGTTACAATCCCATTGGAACAGATGGAGCAAAGGCTTTGTCTGAAGTTCTTAAATTCAATGGAAATGTAAAAACACTTAAGCTTGGTTGGTGTCAGGTAAACTATCCATAAACCTCTGTAAAAACCCATTTCATTAATCTTTTTTTCATGTATAATAATGCAAAATGGGATCTCTTGTAGATAGGACCAAAGGGTGAAGAGTTCATTGCAGATATGCTGAGATATAAATACCATATCAATTCTGGACTTGCGAGCAAATGGACTTAGAGATGAAGTTTGTACTTGCCAGATAAAACTCCATGTTTTTTCATTGGACCACAATTTACGTTGAATCTTAATTTTTTGCTCTTTTATGCACATTATTTTGCAGGGCGCAGCCTGCCTGGCTCGCAGCATGACAGTGGTTAATGAAGCTTTAACTTCACTTGACTTGGGATTCAACGAGATTAGGGTAGATTTTGCTTTCTTTATATACATTTCACGACTTCCCGGGAGCTGCATCATTTGACTTGTGGTTTTATGTAGGATGATGGTGCTTTTGCTATTGCTCAAGCACTCAAGGCCAATGAAGATGTCACAGTAACATCGCTCAACCTTGCGAGTAACTTCCTTACAAAGTTTGGTCCTAGACAGTGTAATTTACAAGCTTTACTCCATTGGCCCATTGCGTCTGTATAATTGATGAATAAAGCGGCTGTAATTTGTGGATTATAACAGCGTATAGCTTTTTTCCCTCTTATAATCACTTCAACGAGTACCTAAATGATACAAGAATGATTTTATTTCCCCATGTATTTGATTAAGAGGTTTCAATTCAAAAGATTTTCTAAATTTGTATCTTTTTTATATGTTATAAATTTTCAGGAAAAACATAGTCCACACACTTGTTTAAAGACATCAGTGTTGAGAGGAAAATGAAGCCACTCTCAATTTGCCAGTGATTATGAAGCATTTTCTAACCAACAAACCATTTCTGATTTGGAAGGGCCCAAAGAACAGAGAACCAATGCTAAATATAGCATCATGTAACACATTATTACCAAATAATGGGAAATCTTTGGTATTGGGGAATCAATGCTCTTGCACTCCTCTCGGTTACACTTCATATATGCTTTCCCTTCTCCTTATCTCCCTTTTTCTTCTTTGGAATTATAAATATTCTTTATGTTTGCTTTACTATTTATCAAATTTAGTTTTTTAGTTGTTTTCTTAATAACTCAAATATCATCTAAAATTAGAAAATATATTTATAATCTTATTTTTTAAAAGAATGAATTTTGAGGATAAAGTATTGATGAGAATATAAAAGAGTAATGAATTAATGGGAAGAAGTAGTTTACAAAGAGTTGCACTCAGATGATCAAATTGAGTAAAATACAAAGTTGACTGATTAAATTAAAAAAAAAATTAAAGCTACACATATATTCCACTATAGTTGAAGAACATGCATTTCAAATTTGATGAAATGAATTTAAAACAAAAAAAAAGAACTGAAGAAATAAATAAATCTGAGCTCATTTCACACAAAAAAATCAAATTATTAACTACAACTAACGAAAAAAATGATATAATTTTAATATTCAAAATTTCAACAACTCAAACATTTAAAATTCAAACTCTAATTGTACTAAAAATCTGAACCACTAGTATGAGTTGATTTGAATTACTAAAACAATTCAAATAATTTTAAATTAAAAAATATTTTTTAATTTGAATTAAGTTTTATTCACCTCTAATATCAAATATTTATTGATACTTTTGAAGATATTAATTTTTTATCCATATTATTATTATTATTATTATTATTATTATATTATTATTACTACTATTATTATTATTATTATTATCATTATTATTATTATTAAATATATATTAAATATATATAAATAATTAATTACAGGCCAATTACAAATGGACCGGCCCAGTTACAAACAAACCAGAACCGGTCCAGATCAAACCAGAAACCCTAAACATTTGGGGTTTCAGTTAGGGTTTCCTAACCCTAATCTAGTCGGCCGCCTCATCGCAGCCGTTGGATCTGAGAGATCCAACGGTCCCAGATATGCCAGAAGAAACCCTAGGGTATCATTACCTAGGGCCACGCGGCGCCGCCCCAGTTTCCAATCACCGCTGCCGACACTCTTTCGCCGCCTCCGCCGCTGCCACGTCTCAAATGAAGACTCCAGAAGACAGATGCCCTCCACACGCCATGGCTACGGGGTGAGTCACCACTGGTAGTCCGGTGACTCACCGAGACCCCATCTTCGGACCGGTCCGATGGCCACACCGGTGGTGACTATAAAAGCCACCACCCCAATCTGAAAAAAAAAAACCACACAGAGACAGAGAAAAAAAGAGAGAGACAGAACCGGAGAAAAAAAACAGCGAAACGAAAAAAAAAAAAAAACTACTAACCAACGATCTCAGTCAAACATCCCACACCAGAAACAAAAAAGAAGGAAAAAGGGAGAAGAGAAACTTACCGAGGAAGCCCCGACCACCGGATCTCACCGGAACCTTCGAAACACCGAAGGTACTTTGTAGATTCGCTCCGATTGGGAGCTTTTTAGGAGAAATACCACCGGAACCGTCCTTAGGACGGTCCGATCTATCTATTAGTGTAAAATAAATTTTTCCGGCCACCGAATGCGGTGGCCGGCGGTGACAGTCACGGCGGCAGACGATTGCCGTCCGATGACCGGCTTCCTCCGAGGGGAAGCTAGAGAGAAGGCAGAGAACAAATTTGTTCTCTCTGTTAGAGAGAGAACAGAGAAATGAAATGAGAAGCTGGCCCTACGGGCCAGCCGGTTTGGGTTATAATACCCTCTCCCAAACGACGTCGTTTCGGGGAGGGTATTTCTGTAATTCACAAGGGTAAATCCCATCCGAAGCCATTCCAATTTGTAATTTTTACGTTCTAGTCACTAAATCGATTTTATATATTTTTAATTTGATCTCGAAATTTTAATTTTATTTTTAGTCCTTCATATTAAATAATATATTTAGGATAAATAACAGATTTAATCCCTTAATTTTGATAAATAATATTTTAATCCCTAGTTTATATTTTTAATTTATTTTATTATAATATCCGAATTTTAGATAATTTTATTTTAGTCACTAAATTATGAAATAAGAAAATAGCTTGATTAATCCCTGTAATTTTAATTAATTATGAATTAGGTTTGTCAATTTAATTTCACTATATTTTAGTCATTTATTTTAAGTATTTTTATTGCTTTTAAATATATATTTAGAATTGTATTCTTTTACTTGTTTATATATTTAAATGTTGTTATAAGTATATAATAAATAAATATTTATTTTAAATAAATTATTTTAATATTTAGTTTTCAATATCAAAGAACAGGACAGTCTTAAAACAACTGGATGTCCTATTCAGATATTTTAAAATTAAACAATATTATTTAAATTAATATCAAAGAAAAGAGCTGTCTTAAGGCACCTAGAAGTTCTTTTCTAATATTTTTAAATAAATAAATATTTTTTATATAATTTTGAAATAATAGGATTATAAATTAAATATATTTTTGAATTTTAATAATAGAGACAATTTATAATTAAAAAGTACCAATTTTGGGCGTTGTACGGGTGCTAATCCTTCCCTAAACGTAACGACCACGAATCCCTTTTATTTAAAAAAAAGGAACGAATTTTTGGTTATAAAACGCAGATCAGTTCATTTTTTTTAAAATGGATGTTTTTTAAAACTCTTTTAAAAAAAATAATTTTTAGGTATTCGACCTACCTGATCCAAAAGGCCGATGGCGACTCATAAATTATTTTCAAAATTATTTATTCACATCAATTTCACCGCCAAGTATAATATTTCGTGCCCGGACGAAAACAGGTTACGACAGCTTGGCGACTCTGCTGGGGACCGGTCAAACTTTTAAAAATCAATTATAAATTGTCCCTATTAATTAAAAATTAAAAGTTAATATATTTAATTTTTAATTCTTTCTTTTCAAAATTTTTATATTTACTTATTATTTTCATAATATTTATATGTTTTTTTTATTTGTAAGTATTTATTTCATTATTTATTTTGTCAGAGGTATGAACATTTCTCCTCACACACAACACTTGCATTGCATAACATAAAGCTCTATAATTGAGTTGTCCCTTTTAAGTGAGAGTGAAAGCGACGTCTTCGTGAGAATTTATTCTCCGTGTCAGACCTAGCAAGTAACTTCCGGGGTTCATATGCTGTAACATCCTCCATGTCGGGTTAGTGATTAATTTGCAAAGTTTCAACATTTGGTGATTTAAAGTAGAATAATTATATAGTTTAAATAGTATGGTTAGTAAATATGAGATGGGGTAAGGACCAAATGGTCATTTGCAAGGAATTTCTAATTTAAATAAAATGTTATGGGGTAAGGACTCAAAGACCGAAGTGTTCTTGGTCCGGATTTAATTCAAGATGTAGAACAGAAAGTTCGAGAAATTCAGCATAACCTCAAAGTGGCCTCTGATCGGCAAAAGTCCTATTCTGATCTTAAAAGGAAAGAAATTGAATTTCAAGTTGGAGATAAGGTGTTTTTAAAAGTGTCTCCATGGAAGAAGGTGTTGAGATTTGGTCGGAAAGGAAAATTGAGTCCTCGGTTTATTGGACCATATGAGATTGTAAAGAGAGTAGGACCGGTAGCATATCAACTAACTTTACCACCTGGGATGGAAAAGATACATGATGTTTTTCACGTTTCAATGCTTCGAAGATATAGATCTGACCCTTCTCATATCGTGACACCAGAGAGATTGAGGTTCGTCCTGACTTGACTTATGAGAAGAACCGATTCAAATCTTAGCACATGAAGTTAAGCAATTGAGGAACAAGATAATTCCTTTGGTCAAAGTATTGTGGAGAAATCACAGAGTAGAAGAAGCAACGTGGAGCGTGAAGAGGATATGCGACATCAATACCCTCATTTGTTCGTGCAATGAAAAATTCGAGGACGAATTTTTCTTAAGGGGAGAGATTTGTAACATCCTCCATGTCGGGTTAGTGATTAATTTGCAAAGTTTCAACATTTGGTGATTTAAAGTAGAATAATTATATAGTTTAAATAGTATGGTTATTAAATATGAGATGGGGTAAGGACCAAATGGTCATTTGCAAGGAATTTCTAATTTAAATAAAATGTTATGGGGTATATATGATACCCACGTGTGATTTAGGTTCCAGAACCTCCCATTTCTTCTTCATTCTCCTTATTTCTTCTCTTCCTTCTCTCAGCGTGTGGCTTGCAATTAAGGTAAGAATCTGAACTTGGTAGTTTCTTTGATGTTTTAAGATTGGAAATGAAAGCTTGGATGTTATATAAGCTAAAGGAAAGCTTATATGACATTAAAACAACAAGATTAGTGTTTTATAGATAGATTTGGAAAATGAGTTTTTAGATGAAATTTTGATATGGATGAGTTTTTGATGTTTGAATCAGATTTTTGACTTGTCAATAAGCTAATTAAGAAGTATGAGGGGTTAGAATTCAAATTAGAACATATTGGAATTGGGTTGGATTCTTAAATGCTACAGGGAGAATTGGATTTCTAGGTTTTAGAGGTATTTAATGGATAATAATTAGTTTAAGTAAGTGTATAAGAGCTAAGAGTAGTAAAGGGATTGAAATATGTAAGTTTGAGATGAAATGGGATGATTTCCGAGCTCA